TTTTTTTTTTTTTTTTTTTTTTTGCTGAAATGCGGCCTGTGAATTATTGGTTTGACATCTGTCATAAGTAGCTTGTTGGCTGTTCTAATGCGGAGATACTTAGTTCATGAAATACCCCACATTCACGTTACAAACGCCTCACCCCAGGGCCTTTCCCAATTTGCACCAGGCACAAGCCAGGGCGAGTGAAATGGAGTGAGGGGGCCAGGCCCGCTTCTGTTTTGTATTTTCATGAAACGCCAGATTTGTTTCACCCTCAGCTGCCGTCTCCCACTTAATTGCGCATTAACGTAGGCTCGGAGGTTAGCCTGCATCTTCTCTCATGCTGCCGTGGCCAACGTGACTGTCTTACCAATGCAGGGGGAAGCGTGCATGCCAAATGAAATCAGACAGGCCCCTGGCTGAAAGAGGGAGAGGGGAAATAAATAAACCCCAGCAAAAGCTTTGGAGACATGGGCACGATGATGAATTGTAACAGCCAATCACGTGGGCAGCTTAAACATTATTGAAATGCTTCCTTCCGGGTCTTAAATACAGAGGCCAAGAAATAACAAAAGACCTGAAATCGAATTAATCACTTGTAGCATTTCTGTGTCTGTGAAACAATTTGCCATAATCTGATCATCCATTCAGCGGCCACATCACAGCGTCTGTGAACAGCAGTCTGAATCGCCTGGCGTCACACCTGAGAGGTCTAGGGCAGAATCCCGGGTCAGCCTCCAACCAGCAAAGGGAGAGGTGGTTGTGATGAGACCTCTGGGGTCACGTGGGGTGTTCAGCCTCCTCCCCAGAGGCTGCCTGGCATCCGTCTCCCAGGTCCCAGGCTCTGTGGCTTCTCCATCCCCTTCCCTGAATTATTGGGACACTTTACAGTTAAGCCTGTTTTCCTCCTGAGCCCAAGGTCATAACTGAGACATTCACAGGAAAAGGGATTGATGTTATTTCCCTTTTATAGTGTAATTAAGCAATTTGATTTTTGAACATTAACACACATGGTTAAAAATTTGAAAGCAAAGCTTAATAATGTATATGTCTGAGCAGTCTCTGCCCACGTCTCTCTCTTAACTCCCTGGTTTCCACCTGCCCCCCAAACAGACAACCCCTGATGCTAACTTCTTGTGTATCCTAGGGGTGCTGTGGAAAGATACAGGCAAATATAAACGTATATTCACCTCATTCTGTGCCTTTTCCGCACACGCAGTGTGTGCTGGACCTCCGGCTTTATCAGCACAGGAAGAGCCGCCTTGGTCCGTGATGCATCCACAGAGTAGGCTGCCCACAGTGGCCCCCGAACCTGCTCCCTGTTGGAAACAATTCAAGTGTTTCCAGTCTTTTCTGGTTACAAACAAGGCTTCAGCTTTGGCCAGCGGGTGAGGAACCCAGGATATAAATTCCCAAAGTGAAAGAGGCAGGACTTACAGGATGGCACACGGAGGACCTCAGTAAATGTTCTCCCCCTAGAATACAAAGAAGCTACTGGAAGAATTATACGTGGAAAAAACCCAAACATTTCAGAGCTCTAGAAATCAACCACAGGCTGAAAAGCATTTAATCACGAAAAATCGCTGAATCTTGGTGAGAGCAGCAGGGACTGTGGCTTTTGATTGGCCACTCGGGCCCCGCGTCCCGGCTCCGTGACGCAGCTATTGTCACTGGAGGCGAGGACGGGCTTCCTTCCAGGCGCGCGGGTGCAGCGCCTGTCTGACCTCAGAGCAAGCTATTCGCAGACTTCACTGGACCTCAGCGTCTGGAATAGACATAACCCCATGCTTAAAGCGGCAACCAGTTAGTTCCCTGGCTTTGGTCACTGAGCCGGTTGAGTGGAAGAGTCCCTGCGTTGTCACACCAATAGCCTGGCATCCGTGCTGGCCCGCCCCTTTCTTGTCTGCGGAGGGAGGCCTTCCTGTGGCGCTAACCCGGTCAGCCAGTGCGGAGGAGGGCCTGGAGGGCACTGGTGTTCCCATCTGCCAGCTTCTCCTGTGTGCCCTGACCTCGGAAGACTTCCAGCGTCATCCTCACTTTACAGGCGAGAAAACGGGGGGCGAGTGACGCAGCCTGTCAGAAGCCAAGCTGCCGGGTGTGGAGATGGTCAGCGAAGACAGGGACCCCACTGACAGCATCTGTTCTTTGTTTGCTCTAAAGACTAATGATGAAAACTTTACTCACTTATGGTGATGGTATAAGCAAGGGGCTAAACGGGCAGAGGTGCCAGCTTCCCAGTACTCTGTCCCGCGGAGCGGCGTGGGCAGGGGTGCCTCGCTGCTGAGCGGGTTCTGAGGGAGAGGCTGCTGCTGGGTCTTGGACCTGGGAGCTGGGAGCAGGGAAAGCGCTGGATACTGAGACAGATCGTGGAGAAGTGTCTGCAAGGCCCCTGAGATAAGGGGTATCAGCAGAGATGCTTTGGAAAGGCCTCAGGCTGGGCCCCCAGAAGGAGGCCTCTAATGAGGGCGTTCAGGCCAGGAACGCAGATATGTGTGCGGCGTGGCCGGCCGGGGCAGGAGGGGCCTGAGTCCCTTTCAGAGCCGGGGATGCTCTGCTGTGGCCCAGGTCTTGTGTGGGGAGGGCCACTTTCCCTGTGTGGCCTGCCAGGAAAGCCTTTGTCCTTGCCTGTGGTCAGGCCTGAAGGTTCACACGTGGCCGGGAGCGGGACTCCTCACCGACTCTGTAAAATGACCTCAGAAGTTTTCAGATACAAGGGAGAGGTCCCGTCACAGCACAGCCCCAAATCCAGCTGTGGACCCTGTAGCGGAAGGAAATGACGGGGTCTCACTTCCCCTGCTGTCACCTGCCTAGTCAGGCTCCTGTTCAGGACCCTGGAGAGCTGCCCACGGGAGGGGACACTTTGTGCCAGAGCCTCTACCAGAGACCCTTACAGCCCCGGCCCGGGCCCCAGCCCCCAAAGGGAGCCTCCCAGCCCCCAGACCGCCAAGGGGAGTCTCCCAGCCCCCAGACCCCCAAGGGGAGCCTCCCAGCCCCCAGACCCCCAAGGGGAGCCTCCCAACCCCCAGACCTCCAAGGGGAGCTTTCCTAGCAAGGAGGAAGCCCCCAAGGGGAGCCTCCCAACCCCCAGACCCCCAAGGGGAGCTTTCCTAGCAAGGAAAGAAGATGAAGAATCCTCTGCTGTGGTCTCCGGGGATCCCATGCTGTTGCCTCTGTGGACGCACAGCCGTGGGCCTGGGGTGCGGGCAGGAGGTGAGAGCCAGGCTGTGCTCCGGCGCTCAGATTGCACTGTGGGCGTTCCTACTCTGTCTCATTAAGTGGAAAAACTGAGGTTCGGAGGACTTCAGTACGTTACCCAGGGCCACACCCAGGGAGCACATGGTGAAAGGAGGCTGGAGGCAGCTCTGTCTGGTTCTGAGGCTCACAGCCTCCCTGCCTTGGTGGCAAGAGCAGAGGAATGCTTTCTTCGGTGTGCTCCTGGGGACTCGGCCTGGGGTGTTTGGCCGTCTTTTCTCGGGAGCACAGATGTGGGCTCCCAGAAGGCAGTCTTGCAGGTGACCCGTGCAGGTAAAAGTTCAAGGACGCGGCTTCGATTCCTCCCAGAGACGCCGCCTGTTTGCCTGGGAAGCCTGGCCGGGGAGTGGGCCCGGTGGACTCGGATGCCCTGCAGGTGTGGCTCCGGCCCTCACCTTGTCTCCCGTTCTCCTCACGCAGGTCAACATGGGCATCCTCATCGCGGTGACCAGGGTCATTTCACAGATCAGCGCCGACAACTACAAGATACACGGAGATCCCAGCGCCTTCAAGTAAGCGGCACCCTGGGCTGTCAGCCATGCCCCCTGCCCACAGAGGCTGCTCGCGGGTAGCAGGAGGGCGGGTCACACCCTTGGGCTTGCCCGGTGTCCTCATGACGTGCGTCCTCATCGGGCTCTGTGACCAGCACCAGCTCGCTGCCCCCATTTGTGAACGAAGGGGGCCTATTAGACGTTCTCCCAGAGGCTGCTTCAGCCCTAGGGTGAGAGGAGCTGGCGGTGGGGTCCAGAGGAGGGTTCTGGAGCCCGACCGCCCTGCCTGGGTCAGTCTTGCCTCAGCCCTACCATCTGCTGGGACCTTGTGATCTATTCAACCCCTCAACGCCCTGATTTCCTCGTCTGCGCGGTGAGGGTGATGGCGGCCGTCTTACAGGTTGTCCTGAGGAGGGTGGAACTTCCTGACCTGCTCTGGGGCTGGTTCATCCTCCGAAGGAGCAGGTGTCTCTGAATGGGGGCCATTGCACCCACGCACTCACTGCCTCCTGGGGTTTCTCCACCCCATTGTCGGGGCTCTGCCAATTGCAAGTGACAGAAAACCCAACACAAACTGGCTAAAGCACAAGGCGTACCTATCGACACAGGCAACCATAAGTCCAGGAATGAGTCTAGAATGGCTTGGTCCAGCGGATCAAATAATACCACCAGGGCCCAGCTCCTCCCGCACTTCTCAGCTCCACGCCCTCTGTCGGCTTCACGCTGAGACGGACTCTGCCTCCTGGTGACAAAATGGCTGCAACAGGAGGTTCAAGTCCATGGGAAAGTGCATCTCTTTCCCCAGTAATCAGAGGTCCTGAGCCTGGAGACCGAGACTCAGACCAGACCGCATGCCCATCCACAAATCAGTCCCAGTGGATGGAAATCACCAGTTAACGCTTGCCGGAGTCACACGGTCCATCCTGGCTCTGGGGTGCAGTCAGCACCCCCGAACCACCTGGCCAGGAAGTGGGGGCAGTGGCCCCTCAAAGGGAATTTAGGGGCTGCTATAGAAACAGGGTGCGGCTAGGCAGCCTGACTACCCGGACGGTAGGCAGCTGATATTCTGTAAGTTACTTTATCTACTTTATCTACACTGTATCTCTT